GGGCATCAGAGTTTTTTTTTTTTTTTTTTTTTGCCTCAGCAATGAGAGAAAAGTAACCAGGGAAGTTGAACATCACTACAATTTAAAATTTCTGCTCTGTGAAAGAGCATTATTTATGAAGATAATGAAAAGGCCAATCATGAACTAGGACAGAATATTTGCAAAAGAACACACATCTGATAAACAACTTACCCAAAATGTGCAAAGAACTCTTAAAAGTCAATAATAAGGAAACAATCAACTTTATTAAAAATGGACAGACATGTCACCAAAGACATATACAGATGGTAAGGAAGCCTATGAGAAGATGCACCATATATGTTATCAGGGAAATAGATCCTATATGCCTGAATGGCCAAAAGCCAGAACATGCACACCATTGCACACTGGTGAGGTCGTGGAACAACAGTAACTCTGCAAAATTGTACCACCATTATGGAAGGCAGTATGACACTTTTTTAGAAAGTTGAAAATACTTCTACCCATATGGTCTAGCAACAGCATTCCATGATATTTATCTGAATGAACTGAAAAGTGATATCCACACAAAATCTGCACGTTAATGCTTATAATAGTTTTTTCCAAAATTACCCAAATTTGGATGCAATCAAGATGTCCTTCAGTATATGAATGCATAAATAAACTGTAGTTCATCCAGATAAAATCCACTGAAAATAAGTTGTCTTGGGGTTTAGCTCTGTGGTAACCCTAACACACACAAGAGTCCAGATTGAATCCCTGACACCACAAGAAAGGAAAGAAGGAAGAAAGGAAGGAAGGGAGGAAGGAAAAATAAATGAAAAAAAATTATCAAGACATGTAAAGATATGGAGGACCAATAAATGTTTATTGCTAAGTGGAAAAAGCCAGTCTGAAAGCTATGTGTTATATAATTCTCAACTGTATAACATTCTTTTAAAAACAAATTGAAAAATTTAGATGAAGCAAATTCTTAGAAAAAACATAATTTACCAAAATAAAAACAAGAAATTTAAATACCAAAATAGGGTTGCCAAGTCAAGAAAATAAATTTATTTTTAAAATTTTCCAAATGGCAAACCCCCAATTCAGATGGTTTTTCTGATAAATCCTACCAATTAGTTTGTGCAGAAATACTACCAATTTATACAAACTTTTCCAGAGAAATAAAAAGAGGAAAAACTTCCTAACTTGTTTTGTGGAGTCAGCATAACATTTTTTTTTACCACTTTTTATCACTTTTTACAAAGATTTTCAAGAAAAGAAACCTACAGGCAAATTTCCCCCAAGAACAAAGATTCTTAAAAAGTTCAAAATTTAATGTGGGCAAAACCAATCTATGATGTCTGAAATTTTTTATACAGGAGACAGCCAGCGTGGTATATGCCTCTAATCTTAGCACTCTGAGAGGCTGAAGCAGGAGGACTGTGAATTTGAACCCAGGCTGGGCAACAGCCATTTTGTTAAGCTGTGTCTCAAAATAAGAAATAAAAATGGCTAGCAATTTTAGTTCAGTGCAAAGCCCCTGGATTCAATTTCCAGTACTTCAAAAAAACATTAGACAACAGCAAACACAGTCATACAAATACCACTGACAATAATCTGGAAATAGAAAACACACAAGAATACACTAATAAGAGAATTGTGTAAGAGTTCTATACTAAAAATTGTAAAGAGGTATACAAAGAAATCAAGTAAGTTCTATGCAAAATAGGCATAAAAATGGGGACATACATCAAGGAACACAATAGAGAGAACAAAAACAAACCCACATACACTTGTCAACTGATCTTTGACAAGGAGAAAGGACAAATCTCTTAGTTAGGGCTGCTGGCAAAAATGCATCCCACATGCAAAACAACTAAAATGAGCCATTGTTTTACACTTTAAGTGCATTAAACACTTCTTAAAGGTGAGCTCTAAGATCATAAAACTCCTATTAGAAAACATAGCAGGAAAGGTCGTTGGCTCCTTGACCTTGGATACCAGTACTATGGATATAATACCAAAAGCACAGAGGAGAAAAACAAAAATAGGTAAGTGTGGTTACATCAAAATAAACAACATTGGCACAGCAAAAGAAACAACAGAGTAAAAAGGCAAACTGAAGAGTGGGAGAAAATATTTGCAAACCATATATATGATGAGGGGTTAATATCCATATGGAAAAATCTCTCAATAACAAAAATGGCCTGATTTTAAAATGATCAGTAGACCTAAGTGGATATTCCCAAGCAGAAAACAAATGACTGGCCAATATATTTTTTAAAAAGTTCATCATCACTCATCATTAGCAAAATTCAAATCAAAATTGCAATGAAATAGCACTTCACCTCGTTAAGGATAGCTAATATCAAAAAAGACTAAAGATGGCATGTGCTAGCCGGGCTGTGGAGGAAAGGAAACCCTCACACAGTATGAGGTTTCCACAAAACATTAAAAATAGAATGACCATATGATCCAACAATCCCAGTCCTAAATACATATCCCCAAAGGAAATGAAATCCATGTCAAAAAGGCAATACTGTTCACAGTAGCCAAGATATAGAATCACGCAAGGTGTCAACTGATAGTTGGATGAAGAAAATGTGGCATATATATACACACATACATTTGCAAGCAATCACACATGTACAATTTACATCTTTATTGATATATGTTTGGACACACACAATGGAATGTTATTCAGCCAAGAAACAAGGAAAGTCTTGTGCTGGGGATGTAGCTCAGTAATAGAGCGACTGCCTAGCATGCACAAGATTGTGAGTTCAATCCAATGCACCACAAAAAAAGGAAATTCTATAATTTGAAACAACGTGGGGTGAGCCTGAAGGACATTATAAAAAATGAAAGAAATTCACTAAAGATTAAATACTGCACTGTCCCACTTATTTATGAAACCTGAAACACCACACTTGTAGCATAGTAGTTGCCAGGGGCTAGAGGTGGTGAGGAAATGGGAGACATTGGTGACAGTTTATGAGCTGAGCAAGTTCTGGGGGTCTAACACATGATATGAGTGGTGATGAACGTGCTAATTAATTAGGTTGTGATCATCACTGCACAATAATTTGCATATCAAATTGTCACATTACGGACCTTACATATATATAATCTTTATTTGTTAAATAGTTTTTTTTAAAAAATAGCCATATAAATAATATTTCTATCCACCTATTGTACATTGCTTGGAAAACTCAACATTGTAGAAATGTCAAACCTTCACATATCAGTCTATAGATATGGTACAATACTTCTCAAATTACCAATACATTCAATATATATATCTGGAACCTGAGCAGTTGAATGTAAAATTGACTCTAGAATAAGCAAGGTATTACTGAAGAACAGACGAGAGGATCTCCTTCCCTGGGTACCAGCACAGATGATAGAGGAATTAAGAGTGTGGTGTTGGTTTAAGCTGCGCCCAACCTAGACAGCAAGCAGAACCCAGACTCAGACCCTGGTGTAGGAGGGCACTTTCGTTTGTGACCGAGGGGGCACTAGAAAGCCACGAGGGTGTGGTGGCCACTCCATCGCAGGGTGCGGGGTCATGGACAGAAGTAACCCTCGCCCCCACTCTGCTACCATGCCCACACCTCATTCCAGGTGCAGGCCGGTGGGACAGGGGGAACCATAAACTTCCCGTTTCCTTGGCTTTCCCAGACCCATTTGGCTTCTGTTCACCCCTCTTGTTTTGCTCTTTGTTTTGTGGTCCAAATCTAATTCATTTTCGGCTTCGTTTGGCTTCATGTAAAAGAACACAGCCAAGCTGATTTGTGGCTGTTTTCAAATTTCAAATTATTTCAGTACTCGGTTCTTAAATCAGAGACTTTATATTCCTTCTCTTTCGTACTCTGTTGTTTTACTGGGGTTGTCAGAAGGAAGCGAAATGTGTAATGGTCACATCATTGCAAACCTTGGGGAAGGTCTTTGCCAGAGTGAATTATTTCTTCAGTCAGAATGAGAGATTTGAAAATTAATTTGCACTTGCTACACTTTCTATGATTCCTTTAAAATATGCCTTGAGTAAGCAAGTGGTGGTGTGCAGAGATTATATAGATGGAGAGTGAGAGAAAGACAAAGCGAATTTGTTTTCATATCTGTCTTTCTGAAACAGGCTGTCATAAAAATGCCTGGGTTGGTCAACTCACAGCAGAAAGGTGTGGAGGCCTGGAGAAGCAGCAAAGAAGAAATTATCCAAAATCTACAGCAAGGCTGCTTGTGTGGACTTGCACCAAGCAGTTTCTGAAGGCCACAGAGACAGAGTGGGAGGGAAGGGGTGGCAGGAGATGAAACTATTTGAAATTTCAAGTAAACCTCATGAAGATAAATGATTTTACAGAAAGGGTAAAAGAGGGCTCCGGAAGGGTATGCTAAGGACAAAGCTGGGTCAGAATCACCCTGATGGGAGAAACTTAGTAACACACACACACACACACACACACACACACACGCACGCACATCGCTAAGGTACAGCCAGGAACTGGGAAGAACATGCCAAGTGGGAGGAAGACTGTGGTTGATTGGATTGTTGAGAACCAGAAGGAGTTGGTGTCTTCGGCCTCAGGGCTCACTATGCATAGGAGGAGCTAAGAAGAAAGTGGGGCCAAGCTGACACAAAAGACATCACCTTCTGTGGCAAGTGTGTTCCCTAGTGACTTCGAACTAACATAAGCAGCTCAGAGCTGGGCAAGGGGTCTGCTACATGGGCAAAGACACACGTAGGTTAGCCCATCACCAGGAGCCAGCATTCCAGCTTTCTGCACCATGGACAGAAATCTGAATATTTCTCCCAGTGGTCCAAGCTCAAAGAGGGTAGAGCTGCCCAGAAGTAGGCAAGTGTCCCCTTTCCACTATGCACTTCCTGCAGGGACCCAGCTCCACCAGGAGACTGTGCTGACTGAGCAAGGAACACTGAGAAAATCCCTTGTGTGCACACAAGGCATGAAGAGGAGCCAGGCAGGGCAGTCCTTGTCCAGGTTTTTCTCTGTGTCCGAATCACAGCACTTGACACTTACCTTTCCAGGCCCTAATGTGGTCTAAACCAGACAGAGAGATTCTCCTGGGTACCAGGGTGCATTCTGGCTTCTTGCTGCTGTTGTGCCCACCCCAGGAGAGCTGCTCCTCCAGGTGCCGTTCAGAGAGATGGCTTGGCTTGGGAGGGCGGGGCGGTGGAGTGTTGCACATGCTGGCTAGTTCTTTTGCCCCACGGGGCAGAGAAACCTGGTTTTTATCTGCTTGTATGGTAGAATTTACAGACGTTTCCAGCAATGATGAAGAAGACAAGTGGTCCCTGGATGGTCCATTGATTTCTCTATTCCAGATCAAAGCAGTCTGGGGTCTTGTGGAAGGCATCTCCTGAAACCCATTTCCAGGGCGTGAGGGGTTCACAAAGCTGCCAGAGGGCAGTGGCTGCAGGCCATCCAGGAAAACATCATCAAATGAATTCTGTTCCAATGAGCGGTCTGAGTTTGACCAGCTATCACATCTGATGAAAGACCGAGGGAAGAAAAGCGTGTTAGTTTTTCTAAAATGCACTCACCCATCAACCACAAATCCCATACTGGTCTTGTTCCCTCCCATCCCTCCAATGCTGCCTTTGGTTCTACTGCAGAGCTGAATTCTGCTGCAACCGTCAGTCACACCAGCACCTTACTGGTGACTTACTGACCTTTTTTCATTCTCTAAACATTAGATACATACATGAAAATGCAAGGTTAGAAATGAAAGCCACAATTCTGAAGTACATGAGTCATCCTGCTTAGTGTACTGTTGCATTTTTCATAGTGGTTGACAGTGATCTGTTCCCATCTTCTGCAGTGGCAGAAGAGAGGTGAGGACACACCTACTAGAAAACATTCCCACTGAAAAGGGTGACATGCCCCGGTACCCTGAACACATTTCAGAGCCAGGTGCCACATGAGGAGGTGGTGAACGTGTGGTGAACAGAGGATTCATGGTAGGAGACCCAGTTTGGACTGAGTCCCCAGCATAAGCATACCTGGTGTGCTGCAGTCTTCCACTCTTGCAATTGGACAGAACCAGGTAATCAGGAAGGAAGAGAAACTCTGATTCACTCCTGGTTTCCTCAGCGACTGTGGCATTAGTGTCTGGGTCATCTCTTGGTGAGGAGGAGCTGGCAACACGGGTGGTATGAAGGGAGCTGGCAGGGGATTGCTGCAGGGAGGAGGGTGTACGAGAGAGGCTCTCTGTGGAATCTGCTGGAGAAATCATTTCCCAGGTTACTGTTCTCGGAATGGCTATACAAGTCACTTATAATTTCTCAAACAACATCTAAGAAGCCAAATAGAAGATGAAAATCACAGCTGGTTTTTGTACAGAGACAATTTCCCCAAGCTATAAACAATGTCTAGGAAAGAAGGCAATGTTCCAACAGTGAAGTGTTGAATCGATTAAGAGGGAAAAAAACCCAACATTCTTGGCCTTAAAATCTGTACACACAGTATTTTTTTATGGCCCTGTATCAGTGTTTATTCACTCGATAAATATATACATATATACACATATGTACTTATGCATAACAAGTCTATATGTATATGGTTACATATGCACTTATACATACATGTATTAACACATTGATCCATATGAGATATGATCAAAATCTAGTATATGTTTACATTTTTTAAATTTATTACAGTAAAATACACAATGCAATTAATCCCGCTCAAAATCCTCTCTCCCTTTAAACATATTTATCCTACCATTCCTGCCGCTTTCTAAAGCAGTTCTGGAAAACCTCTTTCATGAGTGTCTTTAGACATATTGTGGCTGCCTTGATATCTTGAACCAACTCAAAATGTTTATCTTTCCCAATCATTTTGGTTTGGGAAGTGCCAGAAGTTGTACGGTGCCAGATCTGGTGAATATGGTGAAAGAAAACACACTGTGATGTTTTTATGAGCCTGCCTTTCTGTCAGATGGCACTCAGCAGCAGTATTCACTGTATTTTTTAAATCACATCTCGTAAAGACGCTGAAGATTCTTTCTTCTGGAGTCTTCTTGACTCCAGAACTGCTTCAGAAAATGACCAGAACAATGGGATAAGTGTGTTTGATGTGAGGGGATTATCTGAGGCAGATTCATGGCATTTCTCCTTTACTGTGATAAATTTTATTTAAACATTCCCATTTTATATATATACATATATCCATGCACCATATGTAGACTCTGGTACTATCCAAGGTTTCATGTATTCACTATTGGCCTTCGGAATGTATTCCCTGCCACTAAAGGGGAACTACTATATGTGTGTCATGGTTTATGTCTGTGGCCCCCAGGCCTCATGCATTTACACTATGCATTTGTGATTGGTTCATTGTCTAGCTTGGATTGATGGTGTCAGTGCTACACCCACCTAGGGGTGGAGCCAGCATACAATGTGATGGCAGGAAGAAGGTGTGTCTGTCTCTCTGCTAGTTTCTGCCTTGCTGTTGGCAGCCACCATGAACTGTGGTCCTGCCATGCCACCCTGCCTTGGAGCCAACTGAGTATGGACTGAAACCTCCACAAACTGTAAGAAATAAACCTTTCCTTTCCCAACTTGGGCTTCAGGTATTTTATCTCAGCAACGAGTAAAAAGTAACTAAGACAATGTGGAAAGCCACAGATAGCCATTCCAACCTGGTTCTCACATGCAGAGGACTTGGCCCATATATTCTGTTTTTTTTTTTTTTCTTTTTTTATGGGTACCGGGGATCAAACTCATGACTGCCTGCTTGCAAGGCAGGTGCTTATGCCACTGAGCTAAATCCCCAGCTCCTGGCCCATATATTCTGAAAACTGAGGGAGTGGGGCTATAGGGAAGTTTCCTGGCTCCCTCCAACTTCATGCCAGAGTGAGGCTTTCCCGTTTTACCTGGTGCCTTGCTCATTCTCATTCCTCTTGGATTACTGGAAAACGTATTATGTATACATGTTTTGGGACAATTCTTGGATGAGGAAAGAGCCAGAGGAGACACGTAACAGAATGAACAAATATGTATCTGCTTTGGAATGAAGGCAGGAAACAGGATAGTGAAAAGCCAGCAGCAGAGTGAGGACTTGGTCAGGGAGCCTGAGTTTGGCTTAACAGACTGAAGCCAGGATGGACTTACTGTGACATCGCAAGTCAGCTTCATCTGTTGTACCGAGGATAAAAGAATTTGCGATCACGTCATTTCCCTTTATTTGAGTGCTCTCAAAGCTCAGCAGCATTGCTGAATAGCCTCACTTAATAAGCTTCCCTGGCTCATGAAAAGAAAGGGACGTCCTCATTAGGAAGCGCATGCTCTGTGGCCATCTGAGAGAGGTGCAACATCACCCCCTAGTGTCACAACATGGGTATTCCAGGGGCAGATGGAGAAAACCATGCAGAAACTATTGACTGTAAACTACAGGATTTAGAGGTAAGAGTTTTCTTTTCACTAGAATAAGAGGACAAAAGAAAACATATGCAAAATCCTATATTTTGAACATGAAAGTGTGGTGTGATAATGCTGATACTCAACAACGAAATCTATGAAGGGAAGTGAATTGTAGCCCCAAAGTTCTGATATACTTGATATATTATATTTGCTGGGAAAGGCCATGTGTGTGCATGTGTGTGAGAGATACAGAGAAACAGAGGCAGAGGCAGAGACAGAGAGAGCCTCCTCCTGGGTCAGTTGCTCCCATTGTCTAGAAATAATGGCCCAGAGAAAACACAGAGCTTGTATCTCCTGCAGAAACCTGCAATGCTCTGTGTGATCCTATCTTGTATGTTTGGACATGAATCCTAGAAACAGGTGAGAAAGGACCATTTCCAGTGCTCTAGTGTATTTGGTAGGAACAGCTCTGATATAAATTAGCCCACGCAGATATCCTCAGGGCCACTTTTCTGCAGTAGCTCTTACCTGCACCATCTTCTAGGTGGCCCAAGTTGCAGACCTGACTGATGCTGTGCACCCACACCTGCATTTCTTCCTCAGTCTTGGCCACCAGGTAGAATGTACGAGAAGTAGTCTTGACAATGAACACGAAATTGTTCTGGAACTCTTTCCGAACAAATCCAGGGCCCGCATGCTTCCACACAGCACACTCGCTGAGGTCTATCACTCGAATGGGCTTGCTGGAGTGCTTGTTCCGGTAGTACTCCAAAACATCAGGGTTGCCACTCATGCGGCCTCGGCGGAGGACAAACCAGCGCTTGCGCCAGGCCTACAGAAACGATGCAACAAGGAGTTACTGGGCTAACTGCTCTTGTTTCTGAGGTTCTGCCAAGAAGCTATGTGGTGACAAAGACAGCGGGAAAGAAGTGACTTAGCCATTCTAATTACAAGACACTTTGTATGAAAGGACAAGTGTACCATCTAAGTCTGCTTTATTGTGTGATTTGATGGCTCACTCCTGGGGAGCCTGCTGGTGGAACTCATGCCCTGTCTTTGCGCATGTAGGTACTCTTGCTCAATATAGGACACTGGGCCAATTGCCACTGATAGCATATCCTTAATTTCTGCTGTGGTGACAGGTTGATAGCAGTACTTTCTTCCATTAGAGATTCTTAGGGTTGTGGTTGGCAAGTGCAAGTGGAGAGATTTATGCCTTTGTGCTTTGCTCTCCCGTACAGTGGTATGCGTGACGGCAGGAAGTGCAAGCTTCTGCTAGGAGGTATGCTGACCAGTGGGACAGGAAGTCTTTTGGATCTATAGTGTCATTATGCCTGACACTTTTATAAGCTGACCAGCTCTGAGCAAGGGGTCAAGGGAAAGGGAGAAGCCACCATCTGGAGTATCCTCAGCTTTTTCCTGCTCAGACAACATGAGATCTGAGGCAGCAGAAAATCCAAAGAAGTGCTGAAAAAGCAAAAGAGAAGACCAGTCATCACAAAAGACCCAAAGCGCACCTCAGAATAAAAACCTCTTCCAAGGCTTTGGCAACATGCAGCGCACAGGAGGGCAGCCGCCCTGGGGTGCTGCAGCAGGAAACCTGAGCTTGTTACACATATGAAGCTCTGAGGAAAGGTCTGGCCCTTGGGCTACAGACAGGCAGTATGATTAAATTCCTGTCTCTAAAACAGAAGAAATAACAGCATGTTTGCATGTTCATGAGGATGACCTAGGAAGGAAAGGAAAATGATCGACTTCATAAATTCCTGTTGCAAAATGATAGCCCTGGATGGGTGTGGAGCCATAAGGACAGGGAAGGAGCTCATGTCATTCTGAGGCTGGAAGCACAGGGGGTGGGACACGGGCCTGTGGCCCATGGGGGTGAAGTGGGGATTGGAGAATGGCATTCATGCCCGCTGAGAAAAGCTTCTATGGGGATCCTGGGGTACCCCAAACTTTCCAAAGGTCACTTTGGTGGGGAAATGTGAACAGGAACTTTACTGTATTTCCAAAAAAAATGGCTCCAAAGAGGAACTCAAACTGAGCTCAGAAACAAGTTTCATGTCAACTGCTCTTAATACAAGGAAAACAGTACAGATAAGTACGTGTTTCGTTCAGTTAACAGTGATCTGTTTCCAAGCCCACTGATACATTGGACACTGCAGTTGCTGGGGAGGCAAGCCAAGCAAGCCACAGGCTCCGTGACTCAGTTTTGTGTAAAACAAGGAAAGTGGGCAGCTGGATAAAAAGACAATCGAAGTCAGTGAGATGAGTGCTATAAGAAGGGAAAACCAAGATGCTAAGGGAACACACAGGGAGATGCCTCTGTCAGACCAGTGGTCTTGGGAGGTTTCAGGAAGAAGTGTAGCTAAGCTAGGACCAAAGCAGGGTAGAGAAAGGAGCAGGCACAAGGTACCAAGCTGGCAAAGGCACAACACTTTGTGTAAGTAGCTTAGTGGTGCAGGAGGGCAGAAGGAAAAAAGAAGAGTCCCAGGTTAACTTGAATAGGACATCACAAGGCCTTGATGCTAAATTATGCAAAATCACCAGCATGATCTTCCTTAGGGTTTTAAATCTCTACTTAAGAGCTGTGATGATGCAAAAGCAGACACAGTGTGTCCTTGGCACTCTTTGCTAAGGAGGTCAAAGGCCCAGGTTCTTCAGTGAATAAATATCAGACAACGCTTCTACACAGATGTGAAATGAAACAGCAGACTATGACTGCAAAGAATACTTGCAAACCACGTATCTGATAAGGAGTTCACAGCCAAAATTTGTAAGGAACTCTTACAACTCAAGTGTAGAAAAAAATATATATAATTAAAGTGGATAAAAGAGCTAGCTGAGCATTGTAGCACATGTCTGAGGCAGGAGGATTACAAGTTTGAGCTCAGCCTGGGCAAGTGAGTAAGTTCAAGGCCAGCCTGAGCTACAAAGTGTGACCTTGTCTCAAAACAAAAGTGGATAAAGGATCTGAAAGAAATGTCTGCAAATAAGACATACAAATGGCTAACATGTAATAGCAAAATGCTCAACATCACTAACCATCGAGGAAATGCAAATTAAACCACAATAAGATAGCATCTCACCTCAAAGGTTGTTATCAAAGAGACAAGAGAGAACAAGTGTTAGAGAGGGTACAGGGAAAAAAGAAGCACTTGTGCACTGTTGTTAGGAATGTAAATTGATATAGCCACTATGAAAAAGAGCATGCAAGTTTCTCAAAAAACTAAAAACAGAACTACCATATCCCCTAGAAATCCCTCTTCTGGGTATATATGCAAAGCAAGAGACCTGTATGTCCAACAAGAGATGAATGAATGAAGAAAATGCAGTACATTTACACAATGGAGTATCACTCTGCCATAAGGAAGGATAAACTTGAACGATTTGTGGGAAAATGGATGTACTTTGAGACCACAATGCTATGTGAAGTAAATCAGACACGTAAGCTTCAATATTGCATCATTTCTGTTATATGAGAAACCCAAATCATAAATCAAGAGCAAAATAAAAGACAGATAATAGGAAACAGGGATATAGATCCTCTGCAAATGGGAAGGGGATCAAGAATTGGAAGATGGGGGAGAAAGGGTTGAAAAAGCACGAAGATGTGTCATGCCCATGTACTGACTCCCCATGAGGCATATGATGATTATGTACTACAAACATTGATTAGTAAAATTAAAAAATTAAAAGCAAAGCAAATGAAATCAGCATATAGAAGAGATATCCGCACTCTCATTTTCTGTCCAGAGTTATTCACAATAGCTTAGGTATGGAATCAAGCTAAGTATCCTTCAGCTTATAAATGGATAATGACAACAGGGTGAATACACACAATGGAATACTATCAATTAACCTTCAAAAGGAAAGAAATCCCACACTTTCAGCAACCTAGATGGACCTGGAGAACACTATGGCAGGTGAAATAAGCCAGACCCAAAAAGAAAAAAAAAATATTATATGATCTCACTTACATGTGGAATCTTTGTTTTAAAAAATCAAATAGAGATAATGAGAGTGGTTATCAAGGGTGTGGCTTGAGAGGAAATGGAGAGATATAGGTCAGAGGATGAACAAGTCTAGAAACCTAATGTACAATATGGAGTCTGTAGTCTATCAGTTTTATTGTATTAATGATTTATGTTAATTAAGTACATTTTAGTTTTTCTTATCACAAAGAAGTAACTATGTGAGACAATAGAGTAACATGCCTCTCTATAGTGAACATTTTATTATAAAATATCATGTTGTAAATTTTAAATATACACAGTTAAATTTATATTTAAACAGAAGCCAGATATGATGGCACATGGTTGTAATCCCAGCACTCAGGAGCATCATGTAAGTCTGAAACCAGCCTGGGCTACATAGTGAGTTTTTGGCAAACCTGAACAACACAGAGAGACCCTGTCTAAAAAATGCTGCTGCTGATGGTGATGGTGATGATGGTGATGTTGGTAATAAATAAAAAAGAAGATCCGGGCATGGTGGCACACACCTGTAATTCCAGCTACTTAGGAAACTGGGGTTGGAGAATTACTAACTCCAAGCAGCCAGCCTGGAAAACAGTGAGACCTTGTCTCAAAATAAAAATTTTAAGGAAGAGCTGGGGGCATAGCTCAACATTCACTGAGTTCCATCCCTGGTGCCACAGGCAAAGAAAAAGAAAAAAGGAGAGAAAAAAAAAAAAAAAAGAAAAGCAATAGGACAGAGGGGCAATCTGTGGATTAAAGAGATTTAAAAGGTTTATAAAATTTTAAAAATGTGTCTAGAAGATGCTCATTCAAGTGATAAAAACATACAAAATGCAAAAAAAAAGATTTCTAGAGAAATCAGGGGAAGGAAGGTCTATTTTTAAATTGATTGCTACTTATAAGGAAATAATAATTCATAACACCAGATTTTATTTATGTAATTTGCAATATTTGTGTTGTCTTTTCTTTTGTCTTCTCCCTCTCCTTTTCCTTTTCATCCTGTCTCTGTCTCTGTCTGTATCTCTGTCTCTGTCTCTGTCTCTGTCAAGACTGGAGATTGAATCCAGGGTCTTGCACTGAGCTACTCCCCGAGCTTCCTCCTTTTTTTTTTTTTTTTTTTTTTTTTGAGACAGGGTCTTGCTAAGTTGCACCAGCTGGGACTGAATTTCTGAATCTCCTGCCTCAGTCTCCCCAAGTGCTGGGAACACAGGCATGCACCACCACTCCCAGTTTGTGCCTGCTTTCCTGGTAAAAAGAAGAGTTAAACAATCCCTATACCTAGGGCGCATTCACAGATTCCTTCAGTAAATATGTACAGAGTGCCTACTACTGTTTGCACCTGGCACTGCACATAGAAGGAAAATGGATAGCGTGTTTTTCTGGGATTGTGGGCGCAGGATTGCTGGCTGCGGTAGCTAAGCTACGGTCCACCCTCTCTCCTCAGACCCTCTTGCTGGAACAGTCCTGAGCAGCCTGGGAAACTGAAAAGCCAAATGACACAAGTGAATCTCACAAGCATAATCACTGAGCAGACAAGCAGGCATGACTACAACTCAGAGAAACTGAATGTAAAAGGAGGCTTAGGAGCATCCATCTGAGTTCTGAATCTCCTTCCGGCTTTCTGTGTGACTCTGAGCAAGCACTTGATTTCTGCAAACCTCAGTTCTGTCATCTGTGAGTGAAGGTAATAAACCATACCCTGCCTCCCTCATGATGTAACTGTGGTGAACAAATGAGACACAGACAGCAAAGTATATGCCAGTACCTGGCAACTTGAAAATAGCTTCTAAAATGACGATGTGACTGTTGGCGCTCATGGCACATGACACTGCTTGCCCAGGGGAAACTGCTT